ACTATTTTCATACCAGTATTTACACAGGTCTTTCTAAAATCTAAGCTTATCAAAGTTACATCCATCGTTTAGTGTTATGGGCAGGGGAAGGTGGGGCAGGGGAAGGTGGGGCAGGGGAAGGTGGGGCAGGGGAAGGTGGGGCAGGGGAAGGTGGGGCAGGGAAGGTGGGGCAGGGGAAGGTGGGGCAGGGGAAGGTGGGGCAGGGGAAGGTGGGGCAGGGAAGGTGGTGACGCTACAGGAAGGCACACGTCGCCTGGGTTAAGGTCGTGGAGGCAGGAGTCGGGTCTCCGTCATCGGGGACAGGAACTCTCTCAGGGTTACCGAGGTGACCCGAGCCAACCACTGGCCTCTCCTGTGGTGCAAGCCACAACAGTCCATTAACTCTTACAGCTACCGATTTGCTACTAGGTAAACCAAAGCGACAAACCTAAGAGATGTGCCCAAACGTCTCACCCCGCACGGGAATGGAACACGGGACCAGTCGCATATGACCCAAAAACGGTGGACACCTGTAAGCTACTTAACGTTACTGGACGAGGTATACTCCGTCGTTACATAACACGCGACAAACGTCTCATGCTTACGAGGAAGATATTTTATCAGCTAATTCGTGACTCGTGCGTACGGGTCTTCCGTCATAGTATCTAAGAAACCTTCATAACACATCGACGTAAGAAGAACAACCCGTCCTCGACTCAAGTCCATTCCATCCAGCGGTCGACCCCACAGACGCAGTCATCAATTTTAACATGCTGTTCATTCACAACAGGAATTTTCTCAAATATAAATTAATATTATAATATATTAGCATATTGTTCATATATAGCCATAGGTTAAGTTAGGTTAGGTCAGGTTAGGTGTTTAGGTTCTGTTGGCGATTATTTGTATTTGTAGTACGTGGGTGAAGCATTTACAGCATTTTGGTTCGAAGAAAATTCGTCAGTGAAGCACTTGTTTCGAAGTGTTCAAACGTTAACAATTGTGAGTCGTGGGTAAATGTTTTTCATTCATAAACAGCTGAGGTTTGGCGGGTGCATGGAATCACTTTTGGATCTTTGGAGGACGGGCTGAAGAAGAAATTCATGATGCTTCTTGAATCAGGTCTTGGACGTCGTTACCCGCAATGTGTGAGTGTAATTACCTAAGTGTAGTTACAGGATGAGAGCCACACTCGTGGTGTCCCGTCTTCCCAGCACTCTTTGTCATATAACGCTTTGAAACTACTGACGGTCTTGGCCTCCACCACCTTCTCACCTAACTTGTTCCAACCGTCTACCACTCTGTTTGCGAAAGAAAACTTTCCAATATTTTTTTCGACACCTTTGTTTCTATTAGCTTGAATCTGTGTCCTCTTGTTCGTGATGTTGCTGGTTTTAGGAATTCTTCCTTGTCAATTTGGTCGATTCCTGTTAGAATTTTGTATGTGGTGATCATATCACCTCTTTTTCTTCTCCTAGTTTTGTCATGTTTAATGTCTGTAATCTCTCCTCGTAACTCTTGTCTTTCAGTTCCGGAAGCCAATTTGTAGCATGGTGCGGCACCTTTTCAAGTTTAAGTGCTTTTTTGAGAATTGGGCACCATACAACTGCTGTATATTTCAATTTTGATCTCACAAAAGTCATGAACAGTTTCTACTTCACCATCCATATAATTAAAAGTAAGTCTGAAGGTGGAGAGCGACGCATGCGCTCCTCTCACACTAATCTTTGTGTTCCTCTGGTGACAGTTTACTACCCAAAACCACACCTACGTCTTGTTCTTTATTAGACTTCTGTAATTCCTCTCCACATCAACATCCTCCAGAATGTTTTCAGTATATTCTTAAATATGCTTCTCTTCACAAGCACATGGGTCAATTTGATTCGTATTTACCCTTTCACAATTCCTTACATATAATGTGTGTATATTCCCCATGTATTTATATATGTCCGTAAACTTAATGTGTGGATTAGGAATGCATAACTGAATGGTTTAGAGCCATTCGCAGCCTTGTACAGTGTTAATGTTCTACGTGTTAAAGATCAGTGGTCTTGCTAACGTCCTCCTCCCCACCAGGAAGCCGAGCAGTTCTTCCTGGGTCTGGGCTTCCCGCCGCTGTCTCACACGTTCTGGTTCAAGTCGGTGCTGGGGAAGGCGCCGGGGGACGGGGCGTGCCAGCCCCGAGCCCTCGACATGTTCGCCCCGGGGGACTACAGGTAGCACTGGCACTCACATCAACACCCAACCCGTCCTCGTACCTAGTCCATTCCACCCAGCGCTCGACCCCAAAGACGCATTCAACAATTTTAACGTGCTGTTCATTCAAAATTGAAATTTTCTCAAATATAAATTAATAGCGTTATATATTAGCATGCTGTGCATATTTAGCCATTGGTTAGGTTAGGTATTTAAATTCTATTGTTGATTATTTGTAATACGTGGGTGCAACCCGTCCTCGACTCAAGTCCATTCCATCCAGCGGCCGACCCCACAGACGCATTCGCAATATTTTACATGTTGTTCATTCAAAACGAGAATTTTCTCAATTATAAATTAATATTATAATATATTAGCATATTGTGCATATATAGGCTAGGTTAGGTTAGGTGTTTAGGTTAGGTTAGGTTAGGTTAGGTTAGGTGTTTAGGTTCTGTTGGCGATTATTGGTATTTGTAATACGTGGGTGAAGCATTTACAGCGTTGTGGTTCGAACAAAACTCGTCAGTGAAGCACTTGTTCCGGAAGTGTTCGAACGAAATCAGTTGTGAGCCGTGTGTAAACCGCTTTTCATTCATAAACAGGGGGTTTGGCGGGTGGATGGAATCACTTTTGGATCTTTGTTTGGAGGACGGGCTGTTTACAGCGTTGTGGTTCGAACAATGTTCGTCAGTGAAGCACTTGTTCCGGAAGTGTTCGAACGAAATCAGTTGTGAGTCGTGTGTAAACCGCTTTTCATTCATAAACAGGGGGTTTGGCGGGTGGATGGAATCACTTTTGGATCTTTGTTTGGAGGACGGGCTGTTTACAGCGTTGTGGTTCGAACAATGTTCGTCAGTGAAGCACTTGTTCCGGAAGTGTTCGAACGAAATCAGTTGTGAGTCGTGTGTAAACCGCTTTTCATTCATAAACAGGGGGTTTGGCGAGTGGATGGAATCACTTTTGGATCTTTGTTTGGAGGACGGGCTGTTTACAGCGTTGTGGTTCGAACAATGTTCGTCAGTGAAGCACTTGTTCCGGAAGTGTTCGAACGTCAACAGTTGTGAGTCGTGTGTAAACCGCTTTTCAGTCCTGGGGTTTGGCGGGTGGATGGAATTACTTCTGGCCCTTGTTCTGGAGGACCGGCTGCATCATCACCCGTCCCTCAAGATGGCGGCACACAGCTCTGTGGCACCCAAAACTGTCACATATGTTTAAAACCTTTTATTAATAAATGTTGCATTTAAGAATATGAATACTGATAACAAATATTAATAAGGAAGCTTACCATTTTCTAACAGTGGTACAAAATCTGTGATAAAGTGTACAGTACTTTGAGCTCTGTAATTACTTCATACACTCAGGAATATTGGAAGATATTCTTGTGCTGTACCCAAGAGGGGAGCCGGTCGGCCGAGCGGACAGCACGCGGGACTTGTGATCCTGTGGTCCCGGGGTCGATCCCGGGCGCCGGCGAGAAACAATGGGCAGAGTTTCTTTCACCCTATGCTCCTGTTACCTAGCAGTAAACTAGGTACCTGGGTGTTAATCAGCTGTCACGGGCTGCTTCTTGGGGGTGGAGGCCTGGTCGAGGACCGGGCCGCGGGGACACTAAAAGCCCCGAAATCATCTCAAGATAACCTTAAGAAGAGTGTGCTAGAAGAGTCTAATAGATCAGCCTCACAGTCCATGTCCTCTCCTGATTTTTAGTGAGATTTCATTTGTTTTTTGTATTGAGGCTGGTGTTTTCTCCCCTAATTCCATGTATAACTAACCCTCCTGTGAGATGAGAATGTTAGATGAAGTTATAGCTAGTTTTATTTTTATCTACACTGTGTAATCTTTCATATAGAATAGAGTAGCGGCCAAAAAAGGTGGAGGAACTTTAGAGAATTTGGAGAGACATTAAGGAACATATTTATTACGCTCAAGAAGGTTAGGAGTGAACAAATCCACAAGGGCCGTGAGAAGGATTCAAACCTGCGTCCGAGAGTTTAATCGACTGAGCTACGACATAGTAAAAGAATTGCAACCAGAAATTCAACTAAATTTACTTGGATCCATGTTGTAGCTCAGTCGATTAAGGCAGCGTCTGGGATGCTCTCGGACGCAGGTTTGAATCCTCGTCACGGCCCTAGTGGATTTGTTCATTTGATACATCACGCAGTTGTGATTTCTGTGTGTAAGGTTAGGAGTCTAATGCAGTGTCCGTACACACGAGAGTTTGATCATCATAGTTTGGGAGATGTCTCGTTCTTTCTGGTGATGGTCGCTCAGAAACGCTTTTGTTAGTATAATGGTTGATACATGGTTGATGGGGTTCTGGGATTTCTTCTACTCCCCAAGCCCGGCCCGAGGCCAGGCTCGACTTGTGAGAGTTTGGTCCACCAGGCTGTTGCTTGGAGCGGCCCGCAGGCCCACATACCCACCACAGCCCGGTTGGTCCGGCACTCCTTGGAGGAATAAATCTAGTTTTCTCTTGAAAATGTCCACGGTTGTTCCGGCAATATTTCTTATGCTTGCTGGGAGGACGTTGAACAACCGCGGACCTCTGATGTTTATACAGTGTTCTCTGATTGTGCCCATGGCACCTCTGCTCTTCACTGGTTCTATTCTACATTTTCTTCCATGTGTATTATATATATACATATATATATCTATAATCAATTGATCTATGTGAAGCGGTGTTGTGTGTGATGTGACCCCCCCCCCCCAGGATGATGGTGTGCGAGGCGGGGGTGGAGGAGGGGGCGCGGGAAGCCTACCACGAGCTGGGACACGTGCACTACTTTCAGGCCTACGCTCACCAGCCTACAGTCTTCAGGGTCAGTGGCGCCTCTCTTGTCACCTTACTCTCTTTCTTGCTGTTTTAATTCTGTTTAAAGTTGTTGATTACTTGTTTCCAAGTTCCATGTTGGTGAGTTCTGTCATTTCACAGCCTAATGGTCCCGGGTTCGACTCCAGGGGCATGACAAACGTTTTAATGAGAGCGTCTGTGGCTCTTTCTGTCTGTCATTCGCCCGAGTCTGATGTACCTAATTACTGTTAGGTGGACAGAAAGGCATTAAGTGCTGGGTATGTGCCAAACGTTTCGTCCTGCCCAGGAGTCGAACCTGGGGCTATTCTCTTGTGGAACTTACTGTGGATTCAATCAATTTAATTTACTGAATTTGAATTTAGCATTTAAATTTGAATGCTAAATTCCACTTCGGTACTAAAACTTCATTTGTTTACACTGTTTTCAAGTTGAGGAATTTAATTTAAAATAAAGATATTTTATTTTAAATTTTAATTGAACTAGATATTGTGTGTTAAAAACATGGTTCAGGTTCAAGTTGTCTTAGTTGTCGTCATCGCCACTGAGGGCGCTGGTGATGACGCTGACGTCATCCACCTGAGTATACATTAACACCTGTTGATTGACGGTTGAGAGGCGGGACCAAAGAGCCAGAGCTCAACCCCCGCAAGCACAACTAGGTGAGTACAACTAGGTGAGTACATTATTGGCGTGTGTGTGTACTCACCTATTTGTGCCTGCAGGATCGGGCATTATCTCCTGGACCCCCACTTTTCTATTCGCTGGTTGCCTAACGCACTGACTCATGACCAATTGTCCTACAACCTCCTCCCTTTGGTCATTCCATTTCCCACTTCACTTATGCAATACAAAAAACAAAATGCAAATGTGGTTGATGACTTGATGGAGGTATTTGATAAGTGGGACCAAGGAGTGAGCACATACAATGAGATCAAGGGGAATAACAGGTAATGTAGGACGAGGGATATTATATTTTCGACCAAACAGAATGCACAGACACAATCAAATAAAACCGATTCCAAGCACAGTCAAAACTTCTGAACCTCAGGGTACAGTCCTTGCATCTATGGGTTTACTTATTCTCATATCAGATATCGACAAAAATACAATTCAGAGATTCGTGTTAACTTTTGCAGTTCAGTTTAGTTAATTTATTATGCACCCCATACCCATCTTGTGGGCGGTAGTGGAAAGGGTTACAGAGGCACATAATGGGCTCAGGGTCTTAACCCCACAATTCATTTAGCTAAGCAAGTTACAATCTTGATGAGCTAGTTACAAAATTCAGCCCACTTCTTAACATCAACAATGGGTTCGAGACCGACCTCAAGTACAGGTTCTAAATTAAGCAACTGACATATGTGGAGAGCTAGTGTCACAATTAATATGTTTGTCCTGCACACCGCCCCCCCATCCAGTGGGCAGCGGTGGATAGGTTACAATCACTTAGTTACTACCTACAGTTAGCAAACTGGGGACATTTGACTAAGATTTCTGGTAGCAGATCATTATTACTAAAATATTTAAACATCTCTGGAACATTTGTTATATAATTGTCTCTAAATTCACGTATCTTTTCGCACTCCATCACATAGTGACGGAGGGTGTGCGAATAATTTTGTTGACACAGTTTACATTTGGTCAGGTCTACATCAGCAGATAATGAGAATTCCCAGAGATACTTGTAACCGAGTCTAAGCCGAGCAGTAGTAACATCTAGAGATCTGCTGATTTTATTGAATGATCCATAGATATGTATTTACCTAGTTCTATTCACCTAGTTGTACTTGCGGGGGTTGAGCACTGGCTCTTTCGGCCCTCCTCTCAACTGTCAGTCAATCAACCTTTTTTTTCACACACACACACACACACACACACACACACACACACACACACACACACACACACACACACACACACACACCCACCCAGGTAGCAGTCCGTAGCAGCTGTCTTACTCGCAGGCACCTATTTACTGCTAGGTGAACAGTGGCATCAGAATGAAAGAAATTCTGCCTTATTTGTTTCCGCCTTAGCCGTGGATCGATCCCCGGATTCTATGACGGATCATAGGATCTTGATACTATGTATCAAGTTTGGAGACTTGCACACATTTCAGTGCAAGGATCAAGGCAAATAGTTCAGTCTGAAGGGTAGAGACCCAGTTGTTTATACGGACTCCCCACTCAAAGTACAAGCCATCGCCCATTGTCAGAACAACTGCACTTCCAGCTGCACCCGTGGTGCGGTGTAGGGAACCATCAGTGTATATGATTTGAGAGAGAGAATGCTCTGGGGACAGAGCATCAATATGGCTTAAGGCGTTGAGCTTTGCCCCAAGACGAAGCTTGGGGTGATATCTAATCTGCTTCTTGGGTGGAAAGGGAGGGATTGAAATTGGAAAGGGCAGATGACACAAAAATCATCATCAGAACTATTTTTGTTGAAGACATTGAAAAATTACATATATTAATATAGTTTTCGACTGGACAGCAGAAAATAACATGATGTTTAACAAGGAAAATTCCAGGTACTCAGGTATGGTAAAAATAAGGACCTTGTGGGGTTTTCCCCAGCAGCATTTTGTTTCTTAATTGATTTATATTAAATTATTCATTTATTGAACTTTAATTTATTATTATTAATTCAAAGTGGACTGAATATTTAAAGTTATCCTGCTAGGTGTTTACCTGTACACAAGTTTGGGGGGGGGAGTGTTATATACATAGCCTATACAACAAATAATGGATATAAAGTAAGTTACTAAACTAATGTTAGTACTAATGCTACTGGTACTAGTGTAATAAGGGACACAGTTTATCTGTTACGGAAGTGTTGGTTGGATTATCCAGCCTTGTACCTTCTTAGTGTGTTAAGATAAGCATCTTATTGCTTCTTAATTACAATTATTACTTAACCTATACCGTTGATAGGTTAAGTAATAATTGTAAATAAGAAGCAATAAGATGCTTATCTTAACATACTAAGAAGGTTAGGTGAGGTCGGTGTTTTCTATGAAGCTTTTCAAGGTAAACTAAAATATTCACAATAAATTAGTATGTCACATATGCACTTATTAAATAAGCCAATATTGGCTTTAAGCAAATGCGAGAAAGGGTTGCATCTCATGTTCGAGTAAGGTGTCTGTGCAGGATCACTGTAGGTGCTAACAGCTTCCTGTGAGCTCTTCAGTTTGTCATAGGTTACCTGCCAGAATTTTATAAAGTAACAACTGTATGACAATTATAGTCAATAAAATGTGACATGTAATAATTAGCATTGTGTAATTGGTAAAATGAAGCTTACTCATGTTTTAATGTTGTCATGCTGCATATGGGAGGCGGTCGGCCGAGCGGACAGCACGCTGTACTTGTGATCCTGTGGTCCTGGGTTCGATCCCAGGCGCCGGCGAGAAACATTGGGCAAAGTTTCTTTCACCCTATGCCCCTGTTACCTAGCAGTAAAATAGGTACCTGGGTGTTAGTCAGCTGTCACGGGCTGCTTCCTGGGGGTGGAGGCCTGGTCGAGGACCGGGCCGCGGGGACACTAAAAAGCCCCGAAATCATCTCAAGATAACCTCAAGATAACCAACTAACCTAAGAGTTATATGGGCATAAAAACTAAAAAGACATGAGGGTTTAGTCGGATACTCAGCACTTCCCTCTGTTATAGATGAGGTCGCTGTGGCAGAATCACTCTTGGCCGATTGAAATATATAAAATCTTTTTTTTTGAGATTTTATTTTATTTTTTTGTTTTTTTTTGAGATATATACAAGAGTTGTTACATTCTTGTAGAGCCACTAGTACGCGTAGCGTTTCGGGCAAGTCCTTAATCCTATGGTCCCTGGAATACGATCCCCTGCCGCGAAGAATCGTTTTTTCATCCAAGTACACATTTTACTGTTGCGTTAAACAGAGGCTACAGTTAAGGAATTGCGCCCAGTAAATCCTCCCCGGCCAGGATACGAACCCAAGACATAGCGCTCGCGGAACGCCAGGCGAGTGTCTTACCACTACACCACAGAGACTGTTAAAAATTTAATCTTTGTTGTGTCACGTATCGTGGAGCTTCCTGAGAAGGGTTTGATTACACACAATGTCGCCAGTCTCCCTGTTCCTTTAAGCATCCCAAAAAATACAGTTCTGTGTTCTGTCTTTTATTAAATATGGGAGCGAGAGTTTTTAATTTTATGGTAGATTTCATTAAGTTTAAGCATAGAGAACACTTTCTATCAAGTTTAGTCACTAGTCTGTTGTTTTAAGAATATGTATTGAGCTTAAAGGAGTATTTTGATGATGTCACGGATCTCCCATTCTCTATAATACTTTTATGACTAACTAATATAAGCGTTTTTGCTGGTTATATTGGGTGTAAGTAATCTAGTGTCGGAATTTCCGACATAATTCGGGGGGGGGGGAGAGGGAGAGAGAGAGGAGGAAGAGACACACGGGTCGAAGTCCAATAATTAGGGCTGCTGAACACTTCATTCCTCTCCTTCAGAATTATAGTATTGTTTTAATTTTAACTTACACTGTTGTGTGGCAGTCGTTTCTAGATGGATGTTCAGTATTGGAGCCGCAGGTATTGGAAGTCTTTGAACAACTTCTTTTCCTGCTAGCTCTAAAGGAACTAGTTTCTCTAAGGTTTTGAGAATTGTGGTGCCTCGGCACTCTACTTTCACTATTCTCAAGATACCCTATTTGTCTGGATGAAGAGAGACTCTACAACCTACAGGCTACTCTGAGCGTGGTTCATCATTGTCCACCAAAACAATGTCACTTGGGTTCAAGTTAATTTTATTGTAGGTGTTGTTTGCCCCCGTAATGTAATGATACTACCTCAGAGCAGCTAGGTATTCTCGAGTCCATACGTCATTCCCCAACTTATTACTCATGACAGATGTTTAAAGCGCTGTACCAAGTCACTCTCTCTGACATATTTGGGATCTTCTGGTACCTCGTCCATGAGAGAAGCTTGAGGGCTAAAAAGTCCACTATGCATCAGA